AAGTCGGTCTAGACGCTAAGTGGCCCCCAGATAATACGTGGTCATGATAGGCGTGTAGCACTAGTCCGGTAAGGGCGTAAGGCAACACCAATTGGTCACTAAACGTACTACGTTTCCGGAGGTAGCCTGGTAAATACGATTTAAACAGCAATCCATCACGCACGAAGTAGTACGACATGGAAGTGGTTGTCTCGTCATCAGGTAATTGAGCGTCAGGTTTTGTAAGATAGTCGATATACTTGCCATATTCAAGAGCTTGTTTTTCACGCAAGATATCGCGGTTAATAGTTTCAAATACGTTGGTCGCGCTAATATAAACTGATTTCTCAGCGAATAATTCGCGATCACTTTGAACCGGTCGCAAGTTTTCCAAACGATCTGCAGACACTTGGTACGGACGTGGTGGGACATTTGAATGCAGCGCAGGGTCATCAGGCACATTCCTACATATCGGTGCAAGTTGCGGTGCTTCCAACTGTTGTTGGTGATCGAACGCAAACAACCGAGATAGGGTGTCTGGGACTACATGTAACTTTCCCGGCTTGTGTCGCACTGTAAAGTCAAAGGACTGCAAAGCGATTGCCCATCTGGTCAGCATATTAGACGTGTCTTGCATTGTGTACAAATATCTCAATGCCGCGTGATCCGTGACAACTTCGAAATGTCTGCCCCACAAGTAGGGTCGCCAGTGTTGTAAACTCAAAACCACACCGTAACATTCCTTCATCGTCGCAGAGTAATGACGTTGAGCCTTGTTAAATCGTTGGCTAAAATAAGCGATAATATTCACCTCGTCGCCGTTCTTTTGGCCCAGGAATGCTCCTGCACCAACTTCACTAGCATCTACGTGAACCACGAAGTCTTTGGTAAAGTCAGGGAAACATAACACAGGTGCTTTGCTGAGTAACCGTTTGATCTCTGCAAAAGCCTTATCATGTTCGTTCCTGGTTCCAACGTTTTGCGATCGATTTTACATGCTCTTTTTGTGTGAGTTCGACTAGCGGTGCGATCACCGTAGAAAGGTCGGGTATAAATTTCCTCACATAGTTCACCATTCCCAATACTGAGCGAAGCGCTTTGATTGTTTTGGGTGCAGGCAAATCGACAATAGACTTTATACGATCTTCCCCAACACGAATCCCTTTTGCCGACAGTATATGCCCCAGGTATTTTACTTCCTGTGGTCCAAATTGTACTTTGGAGGGTTTCAAGGTAAGACCGGCCGCTTGGAGTGCTTGGAGCATGCTTTCTAATAAGGTTAGATGGCTCTCCCAATTTGAGCGGCAGCAAATAATGTCGTCCATATACACCAAAAGTCCACTGCGTGGTCCGAAGTGAGAGAATGCCAGAGACATCATACGGGCAAATAGAAAAGGAGCATTCATTATTCGCAATTCCGAAGGGGAGGCGTTTGAAAACCCATTTCCCTTTGTGTGTCACAAACGCAGTCTTTTCTTGTTCTGCTTCGTCTACTTCGATTTGGTGGTAGGCTGACTGGATATCGCAGACAGTAATAAATTTTGCACCTCCAACGGTATCAATATGGGATTCTATATCTGGCATGGGCCAAGATTTTCGAATTAAACTCTTGTTAATAGTCGATATTTCTTTCGGAAGGTCGTTCTGGCGAAAGGTAAACTTCTGGTTGTGTCCCGATGTATGCGTTGAGGTAGGGGTGCTTGTGGGCATAGAAAAACGCGCAAGCGGGGGCGTAGACAGTGCGACAGGGTTGCTAGTCCTGTGTGCGCTGTCCTGGCTATCCGGAGTAGGGGCCAACTCGGGTGCTACAGGGTTGCTAGGCCTGTAATCACTATCTTGGCTATCCGGAGTAGATGTTAAATCAGGGGCTAGGTTCCGAGGATGGACAGGTGTGTTCTGAGTGACAGCGGGCAAGATTGGTTGACGAAAAACTAGGCCGGGGGAGGTACTCCCTCCACTGCTCTGATTTCCCTCAACTGGTATACTGCTACGTGCTGTCGAAGAAGTATTCACCTGGGCCACCTCTGCTGCAGAGGCCGGAGTCGTGGTGGGTGGAGTTGCGGTAGGACGGAAGAGGGACACCAGCCACTCGGGTGGATTCGACTGCTCCTTCCAGTGGCGGGAGAGCATGTCAGCGAACTGTCCCCCAGCGGAGGTCATGAGCGCCTGTCGGTCATCCGCGGACACGTCCTGTGACCGGAAGCCCTCGAGCAATTGGTACATGATGTGCCGTTCGCTCTGGTTAGCCCATTCCTCGTCGCCGTCATGTTCCTCGTCACCGTCGTTGTCCGAATTCTCCGGGGTGGCTCCTTTCTCCTCACCGGTGCCCGGCTCGTCCTCTTCGGGAATCGACTCCTGTTGGGAGTGGTCTCCCCGAGAGGGACGATGCGCAGACACGCGTTGAGAGGGGGTGCCCCTTCCCGGCGTTTCAGAGATCAACGGTGACGGGGAAACAGTGACGCCGAGCTGTTTCCGCAGCTCCTCCAGCTCCTGCGCCTGCCTCGCCAGCGCCGCATTCTTGTCAGCGACGAGTGCGTTCGCCTCCCTGACTTCATCGCGTAAGTCTCTCCGCTTTTGTGAAGAGGTTTTCGGCATGTTGTTTCTCTTTTTCTTGGTTGTCTCTCCTCGCTACAGTAGCACGGCGAAGCCGTGTTCTAGTCGACGCCAATGAGGACACTGGCTATTGTCGGAGACAGATGCCGGTGCCGTGGCAGTATTATCCCACTGCCAGGGGAAGGCTATTTCCTCTCGTGATGTGTAAACGAGGAGAAGAGGGTAGAAAGAGAGAGTGGCCATAGCGGCAGAGGGAGAGGAGAGTCGAAGACTCTCCGCTTCCACTTTCGGCAAGTGGCCAGGGACTTCGGAAGATATCCATCTCCGACGGTGCATTTCCTGTCACTCTCCTTGTGACAAGATACCCCGAGGGAGCCATATCTTCCTACACTTTGTATGTGCACACATGGTTGGTTATACTCCTGACAGGTGTCCTCCACACATAGACGAAAATAACAACTGGTGGTGGCTCCGCGTCGAGCCGGCGGTCAAAACGTGAACCCTTCGCTTGGAAGACCCGAGCCACTGGCTTGCTTGCAACATATCGTCATTGAGGAGGGGAATGTGCGCACATACTCAAGAGCGGAGGATCAGTCCGTGACTCTTCCTACGGCATCGCGTGGGTAACGAGTAACGACTGGAAAGGTGGTCTTTCCAGTAAGGGTCGCACATGGGCAACATGTGTCGGCGACATCTGCACATGTCAATAACCCTCGAAAAAAATCAAGACAGCGGTAGACGACAGCAGTAGATTACACTTCCAGTAATTCATCCCCTCCCAGTCCCTGCAGTGATGTCTGGTCTACATAAGTGTGGGCCCACCAGTTGGTTTGCTAGCGGATCAAAGTCGTTTGAGAATGCAACGTCCTTTTCTGCGGCGCTCTGATGTGCTGCTGCCCTAGTCCAAAGATAGACTACGTAGCAGGCTCGACGGCTGTGCAGTAGTCTAGACTACATAGCCAGCCGTAGATATCGGAGGACTGTTGTGTTGACCGCACCTTGCAATTCGATCCAGAACCTCCCCACGCAGGGTCTCGGGCTTTGTTTTGTCGGAGATGAGGCTTCCACCCAGTTTTATGAAAACTAGTCGGTCTGGAGCATTCCCGTCCATCCTGTCCGCGCTGTGTGAATTTGAATGTGCTCCTCGGTATATTGTACGAAGGACTGCTGTTGTTGTTGATCGGTGCTCGCGGGGCTCGGGATGCGGCGGGTCTTCGGTATACCCGAACCGGCACAAGAACCGACAGATCGAGCAAGGGGCCAAGGGCCAAGGGGGCAAGGGGGTGAACACAGCGGGCTCGTCTACGTGTATGCATATTCCGTAGGGAATCTGGTCGTAGAAGACTCGCATCGCGTCGGGGGGTAATACGCCATGTAGGGACCTTCCAAGTTATATCAAGAATTCGTGTGGGTGGACCAGTTACAAATGGACGTTGTATGAGTCTTCGTCCGGAGGTTTGACGGCAGCAAAAAAAACTAAGTGTCGCATGTAACACGCAACCTTTTGTGAGAAAAAATTCTCACAAAAACGTTTTTCAAAACGTTTTTCTCACAAAAACGTGCGTATGGGAGCATGCCATATTGTGCTAAAGTCCAGTTGTTGTTTGGAAGGTTATACCGTAAAACCCTATTTAGCGGTTGCAGATTATACACAACACTCAAACCCGAGGCAGTCCACAGCCAAGACTTTGCAGCCCAGGCCAGAAGAACTCGAGGGGGCACTACGCAACGTGCTCGCAGGCGAAAGCAAGCTGATCGTGGGGGGGGGGGTCCGTGAAATGTAGCCCGACGGAGTGTGGAGAGTCTTTCGGATGGGAACCCCAAGTTCGTCGATTTATTGACGGAACGTTCAAGGGGCGCCGTTAGCACGACGGTAGTACAGCAGGGTCGCAACACACGGGCCTGGTCTGCGTGCTTGTGTTTGTCTGCCGCCGGCAATACTCCAGCGGTATCGAAATGCATACGACACATGTGCGAGTCTTGATACCCCACCATCTTTTCCGCATCTCAAAAAAATCTATGTGTTCTGTCCGCATGAACGCCCTTCGAGCGTCCCGAACACAACATGCCGCAAGTCATCGCGACGCTCACTCCTTGTACAACGCCAGCACTGGTAGGCCGAAAGCCTACCGTACGACCCTACAGAAGATCAAGACCGTCCCGTTGCTCCTTTCCAGCCCAATCTGCAATCCAAACCGACGTCTTGCTGTTCGTGAGGTTGCTCTCAGGTCTGCTCAACAAGCTTCCACCGCTGCCACCTCACCGCCCCCCCCCCGCCCGGACACACTTCCACCGCTGCCACCTCACCGCCCCCCCCCGCCCGGACACACGCCGTTCCATCTGTTGCATGCCTACCGGGTAACCCCCCACCACGCCCCTCTTCTCCTCGCGCAGCGATATACTATTTATTCGTGTAGCACAATGCTCGGTACTCCAGCCATCGCCCAACGAAAGTTCCGACAGGGAACTCAACCGATAAGCACGTGCCCCCCCCCGGCCTCTTGTTCTCTGTCTCTACTGAGCCTTGTCGATTGTCGCAAGGTACTTCTCCATGTTCCCCGCGCCCTCGAGCCATTGCCAGAAGTTGTCCTCGTATCCGTCGGGGATGTCGGAACTCGTCGCGGATGAAGCGACGACGGGGGCAGCTGCGAGGGAGCCCGTCACAGTAGCGCGCGCGTGCACAGGCGAGGAGGGGGCATAGATGGGTACGGAGGGCGGGGGGCAGGAGCGGGAGAGAAATTACGATACGTTTGTAAAAAGTCGTGCAAAGACTGCCTGCCCCTATCGACATCAGCGAGGAGCGCGTGTACGGCGAAGCTGCCCTTTTGCGCAACGTCTTCGCTCAATCATCCCGACGGGCAAACGTGCGAACGCAACGCAAGCAAGAGGAACACTCCGTACACACACAAGATCCGCCAGCCTTTCGATCTTGAACCACCGCATCAACGCATCGGGCTATGAGACACGTCACGCTGAACAATTCTTGATTGTCGAGCCTCCAGGGATGTGTTGAAAACCCAGAAGCTTGCTGGTCACAACAAAGACTGATGCTTACGGGTGGGTAAACACTCGAACTTGTTGTAAAGCACTGAGTGTCCTACTGTCGTAACTTCTCACCGACTTCCTCCTTCTTGGGGGACGAGAAGAGCGCCGAAATTCCCTTGCATACCACGTACAAACCCACGTAGAACCCGCTGATGGCAACCACCACCTGCACCAGCCGATGAATATGACAGGCGCACGGCATGGAAGGGACGGGTCATATTTACAGCGGTAGTAGACCCTAACGCGCACCCTGGAGTACCGGTCTCATGTGGGAAACTGGCTGGGTTCCTGAACGGAACCAGAGTAGTACACGCGCATTTCGAGCAAAGAAAAACCGGGGTACTGGAAACAAGCCTTAGCCTCCTTGCTGTTGTAGACAGATACAATATCCGTCTTGTTGGGTGTCCGGTGTCAGAAATTACTCAGATATTCCAGATTTTATCAAGACATTATTTGCACATGCAATAATTTGGACAGGGCATACACAAGAGAAGCGAGGGTAGTCGCGTGAAGGGTCTATTAGGCCGCCCGCTCCTGAAGCAACATCAGTCGTCATACGGCTTGAGACCATGCAGAGACTACAGCAGTTTTGCCGCACTTTTACGGTAGACGATTTCGGCGACTGCTTTTCGTATCAGTTTTGCGCAAAAATCTTGGGCCTGACCTCTACACCTTGTAGGAAATATACTAAGATCTCAATGAAAATGCATGCTAGATATCCTATCAAAGTGCTACAATATCCGCTGGGTGCGTCCATCTGTCCCAGCAATCAGGGCTGACGGAAGAAGCCCGCTTCCGGATGCCGTGCACCCCAAAAGGGGCATCGTCGATCGTCGAGCAGATAGATGTAAGCACGGATTAATGAGCATGATCTCGCAAACAGGTGCTACTCCCGGCGAAGCCTTGATTGAGACAACGGTCGAAAACAATGTAGCAAGGTTGAGCTGAGTCTACCAAGCACACTTGGATGAGTCGAATCCGCTCTCGCTACCGAGTGTCGAGGCTAGATGCTTCATCACTACTGTTCGTTCCAGCGTGTATACGGCAGTACACAGCAGGGTGTGTGGATGCAAATATCAGCGGGGTGGGGTGAACTACAACTCCGATCTCACAAGTGAGGGGCCACCACGGAATCTATTCGACAGGTCAACACGAAAGAGCTTGCACTCTCCTCTTCGTGGGACGGCAGTCAATGAGTCCCCTCGTCCTTTCACGCCCTACATAAACGACCAGTGCACCAAGCAACCTCCGAAACGTAAACTTGGACATGCCGTTCCGCCGCCATGGTTCGGCACAAACAAAACACAGGGCCGTTCAGAGCAGCAAGGCGATGCAACCGGAGATCAGCAGGAGTGCTTCGTCACCCCATTTCCCGCAGCTGCTTGTCTCCGTCCCCGCGTCGTTGCCACGGATACTCACGTGCTCGTCCTTCGGAAGCTTCTCCCTGATCTGGGCCTCCCAGCCCGTGTACTTCGGAGCTGCTCCGCCCGCCATTCCACGCTTGGGGGCTGCCGGCGCCGCTCGCGACGCGACTGCCCTTGCGGGTGCCGCAGCCTTCGACATGGCACGTGCAGCAAACATAGTTCTACTTCTCCTCCTCTCTTGCTATGTCGCGTGCCAGGGCTGCGGGTGGCTTCGGAACGACCGAGGGGGGCCCTCGGCTAGTACTCGATGCAAATCGCAATTCCACCAACCACCCCAGCAAGCTATTCCTGAAACCCCTCCGAGGCAACTGCTGTCTGCTGTGTGCTTGCGAAGTGTTATCAAAGAGCAGCTACTTGGAGCAGGAGCTGCGAGAGGGAGTTGGTATCTGGTCAAAGGTTGAGTTGGACCTGCGCCGTGCGACTGCGGCCGTGAGCAGAGAAGAGAAACGGTGCAAAAATGGGGATCACTGCCATGACGGTCGGCGGGGCGTTCGGGATCGTGGCCAAGGGCACCGTCAACAGGCTGATGAAGGTCAGCCTGCGCAGAGGTGAGTGAAAGGCAACACCACAGAGCGATAGCGCGCTCCCGCACCAAACAGGATTCCCACCCTCAGAGACGCGAGCAAATAGCAAATAGTGTTGCCAAGCAACATCCGGTGCTGGTAAGCGAGCCCGACGCAGGCCCTTATTCGTAATCCTGTACCGGCGTGCTACTCTCGAGTGTGAAAAGAGTGCGACAGCTGCGGCGGCGTCTCGTCTTCCCGCACCACGCGACAGCTGTAATAGTCGCAGCCGCTGGGGCGGCCAGAAGAACGCCTAGTCTACCTTCTGCCAACTTTGTGAGAAAATATCATACACGAATTCGGACGGTACACAAGTGTATGTACTACAGCATCTTTTGCATGCAAGTTTTTGGACATGACCGACCTCTTCTCTTCGGCCGCCATTTGCTCGTATGGATACGGGCACAGCAGTCCAGTTCGCGACCCTTGGCCGTCGCACTGCTGTTTTCGTTTGTGTTCTACGCAGACCTCGTTTGCAACAAGTAGAGCAGTTTGTGCCGGGCACAGGGAAAACTTACAAATGGTGCATGCAGTGCCGTGGGTACGTCTTGCGTTTTGCACCATGAAGGAATGATTGTGACGAACCCATTCAGGCCCGACCAAAGGCTAATCTGGACGCTTGGATTTCACGAGAGCAGCGATTATACTGCTGTGAGGTTGAGGGCACGAGCTGCTGTGGAGAAGGGCTGCAGTCTATTGCCTGTGTTTCCGTAGGTCAATGGTTTGGCATGTCGTACAGGACGCCTGCCCTTTTGCACCTATTTTCCTATTGTTGGCGTTCGCAAACGGGAAAGCAGACGATTAGCTCTCCTTTTGCGATCATCTCCAAAATCATGTGCACACGGCAACAAAAGTTGCACGGAAGAACCTGAAACCGTCAGAGCTCTGCTTCCTGCGACCTACATGTATTATGCTTGCTCTCTTGTGGTATGCGCCGATTCTTCTCTAAATAGTACAATGACAGAAGCAAGGAATAGGCAGTTGCTGGTGAGGAGGCAACTATGCTTTTTATGTGCATGGCGCAATTAGGAAATACCCTATACGACACAAGATAACACACACCCCGGACCGATTTTCAAAGCTCGATTTTATCCGTCAGAAAAGGGTGTCGACACCGAAAACGGCGGCGGTGAAGACGTCTGGTCGAGAGCTCTCCGAAAACATATCGTTTTGTTTATGCATCCTCTTCGTCGTGGAGTAATCGAGCTTTGAAAATCGGTCTAGGGGGTGTGTTATCTGGTGTCATACACGGTAGGCAGTTGCTTGTGAGACGGCAACTGTGCCATGTACATGGTGAAAGTCATGGCACAGATTGAGTTTGCTCTGCATTGGCACATATCCTTTGCACGCGCCTCCATACATGTATCACTGCTGTTTCTGTTGGTTTTGTGGCTGGTGACGAACGTTTTTCCGCACTGCCAACTGCTGTTGCATGACTGTCTGTCCTGCAGTCGCACACAGAACCAAAAGAGAAACTACGGCGGTGTGAGTGAAGTATGCGGCGTTTTGTGTACAGGGGGTGGTGTGTCGCCTTGATATCGAGTGAATTATGCTCTGCCATGATTGTGATGAAGCATCTATATCCAAAATCATGACGTTGGTTGATATACGTGTACAACATGTTGGATGACCGCGAAACGAACGTTGGGGCATTTCAATCCCTTTGAGCACACCTTTTGAAGATGACCCTGTTTTGCCGTAGAATGTTTACGGCAACTTCCGAGTGTTTGTTTCCCCACACTCCCGAGCATGATGGGGATTGAACGATGAATTCGCTTCTTTCCCATCACTCCTTGGCCGCCTCCCCTCTCCTTTCTCGTATCTTGCGGTAGGAGTAACACAAACAGTTTATGGGCGCATGTACCGTTGCACGCCCTGCGACTCATGTGCCAACCCTCGTGGACAGCAAGCAAGTGTGTGGAAAACAACCTTCCAGCACATCGTGGTGTTCTCTTTCTCTTCTCTCGAGCAAAGTATGCGTATCACTCGGCGAAAGAAGAACATCTTGTTGACGAACCCAGCTAACCCTGCACCACGCGACAATGACTCCTGTCAGCTCGCACTCGGCGAAAGAAGAACATCTTGTTGACGAACCCAGCTAACCCTGCACCACGCGACAATGACTCCTGTCAGCTCGCTTGCTTCGACCGTTTCGCCAGCAGGGCGGTGCTTCTGCGGTGAGGGCCCCCACCACCTATCTATTTCCTCGCGAACAGACAATTTCGGCGACTAACCGGTGCACCACCTCTTTCTTTCCCACCCACTCCCCGTCCCGCCTTGCCCAAACCCACACGTGGCCACTGCTGTGTCCAGCGCCTTGGGAGTACGTGCTGGGCGCGGGAATCGGTGCGTACGTCGGGAACAAGATCCCGCAGTGGGAGGCGACCCTGATCTCGGACATCAACGAGATGCGGGCAGACCGCAACATGCCCCCCGCGACACGCGTGGGCGGCTACGAGTTCGGGTCAAGCATCACGGACAGCAAATGAACACACTCATCATCGTTGCTGTGCTGCGTCGTTTTTTTTTTGGGGGGGGGTGCGGTAGACTCCACACCGTGTTGTTTGTGTGGTTCGACGAGGTCTTCGAAAGGGCTAGTTGGTGTGCGCGGGTGTAGGAAGTCGCGACTTTTCTTGTGCTGGCAAGTGAAGCGAGCGGGCAGTCCCTCGGATTACGCGTCGTGAGGGAGTCGGCGCGTAGTTGATTAGCCTAGCCGTTGTTTCTTTGGGGGAGGCTTGCCGATTCTCCCAGAGCTGGCGCAGAACGCGCTTATGGCGATGTCTGGGTAGGATAGATTGTTGTGGAAAAAGAAGAGAAGCAATTAGTGCTGCGGCTGTTGTTTGCCCAACGGGTGGAGATTTTGGCTGGTCTAGGGTCGGGATCAAGATCTAGTTGCAGGCCTGCTGCCATGTAACCTGCATCGAGGTGCCGCCGCCGCCGCCGCTGTCTTGATTGTTTATAGGCGTGCGGGGGGGGGAGCGGGGTAGGGGGGCGGTCTAAGCGTCTTCCTCACAATCGGTACGTACGGTGGGAGATCGAATAGCAGAGTCATGTGTGACGTCCCAGCTTTCTGAGGCTGTGGCCTGCATGCAGATCTATCTCGCTCGGTGTTTCTTCGAGACTTGTTCATCTTGCTTCTACAAATCAGACTTGTTGTCTGCTGGCGTATGATCCTTTCAAACGGCATGAACACGAACCGCTGGGATGTGTACAGAACAAAGCTGGAAACTGGGCCCCACCATGTTGCGCTTCGCAAAGCATGTTTTCTGGTGTACCACACGCCTCTACACCTTGCGGTGTGACACCATCGTGTTGCCTGCCATCCCCTTGGGCATCCCAAGCCCCTTCTCCCCCGATTCCCTGTTTTGTTGTTCGTCGTTCCTTCAAAACGGTATCCGTTCTCGTTGAGGTGCATTTCCGCTCACTTCCCTCAACGGCTGCCAAGAGGAATAAAGGAGGGCATCCGTCCGGCAACAACATGTCTGTTTGCTTCTCGGTTGCCAGTGTTTCATCCCGCCGAACACTACAATGTATATATAACTCTGTTTTTCAGCATGTAGCCTGTTCGTAATACTGCTCGAATACAAGAGGATGCAACACAAGACTATCAATTTAGTCTACTTCTTCGCGAGCACTTTATTCGGCCAACGAAAGGTATCGCCCTGCTGTTCTGATAGTGCTGTAGCATACAATTGCATGTACCATCTGTCTGCTCATGATTTACTCTAGTACTCATGTACATGATACCAAAGATCATGTACCGGGGGTAGGAGCAACCAGTCTGCGCGCCCCCCGCAGTTGGGTTCGTTGAGCTGCAGCTGGCAAGGAGCTGAGAGAGGAGGATATACACACAACAACATCGGGCCTGTCCTGCAGGCACCTCCACGCACTCATGGGCGTCGGTGCCTCGCATCAAACAAAACTCGAGCGTGAGTTCGGAGACATCGGAGATGGCGATGGACAGGAGAGGTTCTTCGGCCTCGAGAACTTTGGCAATACCTGCTACTGCAACTCCGTGCTGCAGGTACGAGACTGCTGCTGCTGTACTGCTGTTCGGATGATGCTGTACAGCAGTATCCCCTCTTTGACAGAGCGCACGCACTGCCAGCTTAGGGAGTCTGGCTAAAGGCCCATCGTGTCTTCACGACGCCCGCACGTCGACGGCTGTACGTCAGTAGTACCCACAGGCGTCAGAGAACATAGTCACAAACATTCCGCACCTCAATGATGTACCCGTGTGTGATGTGACACCTACCTGCTTTGAGCCAACGTCAAAGCATTTGTGCGTTTGTACGTAGCAGCAGCATTGGCAGCGATTCGACTTCTCTCTGGTGCACCTGCCTTACTCCGCGCTCCCGCCGACTGATTGGGTTAAGGACACTCATGATTGGGTTACCAACGGCGCATCTTAATTTCTCTCTCTCGCTGGGTCGTTCCTTGCGCCAGTACTTTGGTCATCCTCGACCGCCCTATGCATACCTACACAAAAGGAGTTGCCTCTGTGCTCAACCTTGACTTCCACCGCACGTGAAAGGGACTGTATCTCAACACTACAACAACAATAACACTTGCTCTACACGCCTGGTTCAAACTCTTGTGGTGTTCGTCATCAAAGACACTGCTTTTGTCTGTGAATGTTGTGTTTGGCTCCAAGAGACCTGTTGGCGTCGGGGCTGACACCCTCACACCTCACACACCGCTTGTCCTCCGTCTCCGCCGTGCACACCGACTGACGCGAAGGCGCTCTACTTTTGCGAGCCGTTGCGACATCATCTCGCGCAAGTACGAGAGGAAGACACGAGTGGCGGCGGCAGCGGAGACGGCAGTAGTAGTGGCGGGGGTGGGGGTAGCGGGGGCAGCGGCAAGACCGTTCTGTCGGAGTTGGCGGAGCTATTCTCGTCCATCTCCAACCAGAAGCGGCGGTCTGGCCACCTGGCGCCGACGGAATTCCTCCGCACCCTGCGGGAGCGCAACGAGCTCTTCCGTGGGAACAGGCAGCAGGTGGGTGAGGAGGTGACTCGATAAAATCAGAGGGGCGCCTGGTTTGACTGCTGCTACTGCTGTGTCGGTGTCGGCACAAGGTTATCTACCTCTGGTCTTGGGGGAGTTGCAGGAGAGTGAAATGGGCGACGGGGGGGGGGAGGGTGACCGCCGGTCGAGGCAGATCCCACCATCCTTTCATCCGTAGGTGCTGATCTTGTCATCGAACAGCTCTTGTATGTATGCATAGGATGCGGCGGGTTTCTCGACGCGGCGCCGATCAGAACTTTCGAGTTTATTTTCGATGAGCCACACCAACAGCGGGTCGTATGCCCAAGTCTTGACTACATATGTGCACGTGGTCGTTGCATCAGGTAGAACGCGCGGTTCGCTGAAGCGAGGACGGTTGTGGTCACGTTCCATGCAACGGTTCTCAGCATCCCCGCCTTGACTTGACGAAAACGTTGACATGCATTTCCTTCCTTGCTTGCTTGCTAGGATGCGCACGAGTTCTTCAACTTCGTGCTGAACGAGATGGCGGATAGTGTGGTGGCTAGGAGGAAGCTGCGGGAGGAGGCGGCCACCGTTCAGGAGCACAAGCAGCGCTTCCAACAAAACGGAAGCCATCACCACCGCCAGACACACGGCAGCAACGGCAACACCCAGACGAATTCTTCCCAGCAGCAGCAGCAGCAGGATCCGCGACGGTCTTCCACCTGGTCCAAGATGTCCTCCTTCAAGGGCAGCTTCGGGAACGGGCTGAAGAACGCCTCGCAGCCGGCTTCTGCGGAGGGAGCGGCCCCAGCGGCGACACCATCGGTAGCACCGGCAGCAGATTGCACAGCTCCATCGGCCGCGGTAGGGGGGCACGCGGGCGGGATGTCGGGCAGCGACCCCGGGGAGGGGGAGTCGGCGGCGGGGGTTGATGGTGGTGGCGGCAACGCGCGTGGCAACCGGAGAACAAGCGATGGGGCTAACGAATCTGGCGGGGAGACGTGGGTGCATCGGATATTTCAGGGGGTTCTCACGAACCAGACCAAGTGCCTCTGTTGCGAGACGGTGCGTTTGTTTGTCTGGAGACTCTTTGTGCTTCTATCACTTCCCTTCGATACGACGGCGTATGTTTTTGGTGCGGTGAGATTACACGTCCCGAACTCTAGCCCAATGTCAACATGTTTCCCTCTGTACAAGAAGTCGGAGGTTTCGACTTGCTTCCTCCTGTGGATTCGACGGCCTTACCGATGGGCGGGATAGTGTTGATCGACATACCGGAAGGTGCAACTGCTTGGGCTTTTTGCCACAATTGATCAACTCCACTGCTCTGTGTGGCTTTTCCAGCCCTTTTTTTGTTGTCATACTAATGACGGCGGCCACGCACAGAGCACCTAGCGTGCATCTACCGCTGACCCTTGCAATCTCAAATTATTAACGCCGAAAGTTCACCCACCCACCCCGCTCGGTCGGTCGCAGGTGAGCAATCGAGACGAGCCGTTCATGGACCTGTCCCTGGACGTGGAGCAGAACTCGTCGGTGTCGGCGTGCCTGAGAAACTTCAGCAGCACGGAGACTCTCACCAAGAAGAACAAGTTTTTCTGCGAGACCTGCTACGCTCTGCAGGTGGGTCACAGCTGCTGCCATGCGGCGAATGTGCACGTGTACTCGTAAATACGCAAATGAGAAAATACCCGTTGTCCACGCGTGCTGCTGTTCATGTGTGATATGTGTTCGCTTCCATGTCTCTGCTGAGGGTGGGCACTCGTGCGGCCTTTTGTTTCACGCTCTGCGTCTTGCGTTGGCTTTTCTCGTTTTTCGTTTGGTTGTGTTGGTGATATTGCTATTGCGCTGTTGTCGCTGTGTAATTAGGGCCTTTCGTGAAGACAGTTCTTCCGGCTAAGCATGCTCAACAGAACGTCCCACCAGCACTACGATCACATTCATTTGCACGGGCCGTTAGGCTTCTCCCAACAGTGTACCCTTGACCTATTGAAATATCAATATGTAGCGCAAACAACCCAACCTAAACAAACTTTCAATACAGACTGCAGTAGTTGTCGCGCAAACATACATACATGCAAGAACCCACAAACAGAAAATCGCGCACGGACATAACTGCAGTAGCCTAACAAGAACACCATGCGACCGGCCGGGGAACACAACAACAATCAACAGGAGGCCGAGAAGAAGATTCGGCTGAAGCGACTGCCGCGAGTCCTGACGCTGCACCTCAAGCGCTTCAAGTACGTGGAGTCGCTGGAGAACTTCTCCAAGCTATCGCACCGAGTCGTGTTTCCCCTCGAGCTGCGGACACCCAACATGACCGACGCCGCCGGCGAGGCGGACGCGGACGGCCGGCTTTACAGGCAAGCAAGCTCCTGTATTTCTATTGTTTTTCATGCGTTCGGGTCGTGGTCGTTGGGAGCGGCACCGTAGACAGGGGCGGGGGGCGTGGGGTTGTCGTCTAACCTTTGTCTGGTTGTGAGGCTTGGCCACGCGCGTTCATGCATCATGCCCTTAGGAGACGGAGCTGGTGGGGAGGCGGGGGGCATGCTCGCTTGCTGCGTGCCGATGTTTCGAGAGCATTGACCACTTATCTCGGGTTGACATTTTTTTTTTTTCTCCCATCATTGGACTCTGTCGTCTGCCCCTCTGGCCCCCATCCTCCACTTCTACTAGCTAAACGACCCAACCGGGGTCACATTGGAGGGGGTGTACTCATAGTCGTGCATGCCGTAGTCGTTTGACCATTGACCTCACAGGATGCAGCTCACCCTTCATGCGACTCGCCAAATACCTCACGGCGCTTCGCGCTTGGTGATGTGAGAGCCTGGTCCGGTGAGAACCCGGCGTGCTCCGTCCCGGCTTTGTAGGGATGCGAGGTCAATGGTCACATTGGAGGGGGGGGGGGTTATCGTGAGAAGGGTACAGCAATCCTTTCCCTCGCGACTTATGAAGTCGATCTAGTTTACTAACAATGAGCTTTGCAGCGCGTCGCTTCCAACTTAGACCAGGATTTATTAAGTGAGAAAAATAACCCACTTTGCCGGGACTCGAACCCATGACCTGGTCCTTAGTAGGCTGCGAGGGTACCCACTAGACCACCGGGGCGACCGGTGTGTACATGGAGGAGCACGGTTCGCAGCCTGCTGCAGCCGTTTCTGCCACGTCCGCACTGCCTTGTTCTATGGTACAATATGATCCGTTACTCCTTACGTAGAAGGTGCCCGGGCTTGAGTGTGTTTTGTTTCAGGCCGCCGGGAAATAATACCCCCCGCCCGGGCAAACAACAAGTCCAACCTGTCCCTACAGCAGTACGCTACTGCTGTCAGCCCTTTGTCCACACTTGGGCAGGTCGGTCTCTGAGTATTACGAACCCAATAGCTTTTGCCCTCCGCTCCTTGTGTCCTTCACAACGCAACCTATCCTGTCTCCGAAACGGCTCACGACCCAGGTTATTCGCTGTCGTAGTACACATTGGCCGCGGCCCCAACCACGGACACTATGTGGCGGTGGTGAAGTCGGGAGGTCGCTGGCTGCTCTTCGACGACGAGATTGTCGAGCTCGTTAACGAACAGGTGTGTGTGTGTGTCATGTGTGCATGCATGCGCGTGCGTGCATGGGTTGATCTAGTTAGCATCGATCGATCGCCCAGATGTGCTTTGTGTACTCCTATTTTCTTACGGGGTTGGCATCGAGCGCGCTATGCGGTGGGCCAACAAAGATGCGCCGGTAAAATCGGAATATAAAACGGTGTCGGGTGACACTTTCTAGTCCACGGGGACCCCCAACGGGGGGGGCTGCGATATGTAGTGACGTGTGAATATTGGCATTGCAAGCATAGACCGCAATGTCTGTCCAGCTGACCGAGGACTGTTAGCGGATCATTCCTGTGGTCGAATCCCGCACTGCTGCGTTATCGTCTGCGCCCTGTATATTTAGTAGTCGTGAGACCGATGTAGAAAAGCCGAAATCAAATCATTAACCTAGGCCGCGCTGAATTTAGATCGCACTCATCGGGTTGACAACCAACCCATCTGATGTTGTGCGTACGGTGTACGGTGACCGCACAATCGGTGCTCGAGGGAAGCGGCGACTTACAAACGACCGGCAAATTCTGCGACTTGGTTCCGCTTTGAACGAAGCATACCGTCTGTCGTTATTTTCTTGGGGGGGTGCCTTGAGAAAGAATGGTTGCGATTCGCGCCTGCCCCCCCTTGTGGTTTGTTGTTGTTGGTTCCGCCGTCGGTCTCTCGCTCGTATCTTTGCCCCCTCTGGTGCTTTCATAGCAGCCGGCGCCGGGTTGAATGATGGCGCGTGCGTTATTCTTGCAGAGCACTGACAGAAAATTCGGTATTTGGTTGTTTTGGCGTCCATGACGTGACCCGTGTTCTTGTGCGGAAGAGTACTAGTGTTTGTCTACACGAAGGAATTATCCACCCAAACTCAACGCGCCTGCCTGAGAGATGACATATGTACGACGCTACTTTTTTTTCTAGAAACGTGTAGAGGAAAAATCTCGTTACGTCTTTTGTGAGAAGCTCCCCCATTCCAACTCCCCGCCGTGTGGTCCTGCTTGTTGGCCCCCGACGTGTCTCACGGCTGCTGTGCCCCAGGTGCTCAAGCAGTGCTTCGGACTGGCACGCCCAGCCTCAGCCGCCACCAACACCGGGTACCTGCTACTGTACGACTGCGGAGAGTGAACAGAGCGCTCACGGTGGTCAAGGGGGGGGGGGGGG